TATATTTTCTGGGCTATTTAGACAACTCAAAAAAAAAAAAAAAAACAAAACCAAAAGCACCCCAGAAACCACAAGAAACAAATCAGCCTCCCTGGCTGTGGGAGGTCTCCCCCAGCTCAGCCCTGTGCAGCCAGCCCCACATTCTGACACTGCTCCCCATGGGTGCTGGCACAGACTCTGGCACAGCAGTCACAGTGCTGTGTTTGCTGAGCCCCAGGTATCCCACCAGTATTACTTGTAGTCACCCAAGGAAATCCACATAGATGGGGGTATAAGCACAGCACACGTTAGCCCGACGGGGAATGAGTGCAAAGGTCATTTCTGCACTGGTTTCACTCCGGGAATTCATCAGCAAAAGTTTTTGCAACTTTCAAATACAAAGATTTCACTGTTCTTGTGACTTGTAGGAAACAAGTCTCTGTCTTGTAGATATGACACAGGACAGACAGCAAAGTAATGCACTTCTTGTCTAATAAGAAAATCTTTACACTATTAACATGCATGAGTAATCTGCATAATTTTATGGGCAGTAGGTTTGATGTAAAGTGTTATTTCAACAGAATCCATGCTGACAAGCCATTAACTACCAGTTCTTAGTAGACATATTTGCATAATGTTCCAGACTCTTGAATTTCATCATCTCAATCTGACAAACAGTAACTACATTTTTCTAAAACAATAAACTTATTTCCATTCAAAATAATCAAATAAACCCCAGCCTGTTTCCAGTAGCTATCAGGAGTCTCTGCAGGAGAATCTAAAGCCTCCCTAAGAGGCATTGCATTTTTTAGATTTCCTTATACCTACAAACAATCACAATTTAAGAGACTTAAAGAGATTTAATTTAATGTTGTCACTGAGGGTGACAGCATTATGCCTCTTCTGCACACTGAAGACTTCTAACTCTGGGCTGTCATGCCAGCACCTTTAGCAATAATCATTTTGTTTGAAATGGTTTTAAGAAATAAAAACAACTAAATCAAACACAAACAAACAAACCACACAAGAGGCTTTCTGAATTTATGGTAGGCAATATTTGCAAAAGGAAAATGAGACTTCACATTTCCCATTATGAAGTTAAGGGCTCTAAACTGCTCAAGATGAGCTACTGGTGCCCCCATGTGTTTAAGCGAGATTTTTACTGTTGCCCTATGCAGGGTATAATAGGCCTGAAATTTACATTATAGGCTTATTCCCTTCCACTCCCCAGAAAAAGGAAAACAACTGAAAACCAAACAATAACAAACAAACAAGAAAACCCCTTAAATACTGGCACAAAACTGTAAGCATGCAAGGAAAGAAAAAAAAGCGTGGTCTCTTACTTCATAAATGCCCTGCCAGACAGAAAAATTAATTTCTATGTTTTTTGAAATTTGAATGCATTTCTTTATTTTATTCTTTTGTTCTCTTTTAACATAGATGCAGCCCCATTATCTGTAGAAAGCTTTCTACAGTAAGGTTTGCAGAGTATTTTAGTGCTAAGCTGAACAGTAAGTACAGAAACACAGCTACTCATTAAAAATTCCTATTTTGGTTTTCTGTTTGCCAGTCTTTTTATAGATGCTGCTAAGTGACCCCAATATAGCTTTCTGATAAGATGAATTAAAAAGGAGAGTGAATATTATGAGAGAAATTAGACTAGATAATACTAGTTTATTACTTTTTGGAATCAGGGCATTTTCTAGACACTACTCCTATTTTAGCAGCCTGACCAGAAGTAACACTAAATTGACAAGTACAGAGTTAAGGAGAAGATAAAAAAAAAAAAACCAAAACAAAAAAACTCAAACAAACATGCGTTTATAGATTTCAACACAAGAAAAGAGAGAAATTTCTTTCAATTAGCAGGCTGTAATTTTTTTTTAATCCATCAACAAGAAAACCATGTGGTCACTTCAAAAAGGGATCATATGCTACTAAATATATTTTCTGAAAATTGTCCTGTTTATAGTTTTCTTTGGCATAGAATATGTTTGTGACTGCATTTCCACAGCCAAGTAAGCCCTAAACTTTTCTGGGGGGGAAGGGATAGGGTGGGTGTGAAGGTAAATATGGGAATGATCATGTATAGTTCCTTGCAACACATCCAACCTTTGTTATTTTAGCATTTTAAGTCAAAATAGAGTAATTAAAAACAGGAAAAAATTAGAAAGCCGAGATAGAAAATGAGCAGGATCATGAAATTTGCTTGTGAACTAGCAGCAATAATATTTTTGTTGCTTATTAAATTATTAAGCTCTTATTCATAGAAATACTAATAACATGGAAAGTGTTATTATAATAATCACTCAAATTTGCAAACATTTCATTATAATCAGATTGCTAGAGTAAACTTGTTTATATTATGGCAGCCTCAATTTGTTTCCAAATTCCAAAGCCCAAAAATTAATTTTTCCTGACAGTATGTTGCTTGCAAGTGTACAAGTACAATGGGTGAAGTCTTGGCTTTTTCAAAGTCAGTGGCACCTCTGGAGCTGTGGCTCAGCTGAAGCTGATGGCAATGACAGCTATCACCACTGCTGCAGGTCTGTGCTGCTGGGGCTATTTCTGGCAAAAACCTTTTGTTAAGTAAAACTATTTTCTGTAGGAACATACTAAATTTATTAAGGTCTTATTGATAGAGGGTTGTTTTTATGCTGAGATGCAGCATCCAGTCAAATCCAGTCAAAATGAAAAACAAATGCACCCCAGAGCAGTCAGGGCCTTAATGATGAGAATGCAGGCATGAATGAAGCTGGTTTTAAAATTTTTACATTGTCACTGAAACCTGCAGTCTGAAAAGTGCTTAGAAGTCAACACTTCTGACACCTCAGAGTTTCTGATAAATAATAAGCATTTCATACCCAACTTCACTGTCCATCATTTCCCTGCAAAAAATCTCAATGAAGACAGAAGAGTAGTTCAGAAGAGTAGTTAGTGAATTACCACTTTGCTATGGCATTTCTGATGAAAACTCTCTATTGCTGTGACACATTCTAATAATTCTAAAACCTCTTTCTTTCCTTCCACCTTAGTTTTCCTTTCTATTATCATGTAGAATTTTTTAAGCACTTGCACGTGGAATTATTAGCCAGTGATAACAGTGTGAATATGTTATGGAAAGTCCACAGGTGAATTCTTCAAAATGTGAAACCTTGTACTGACGTTATTTAAAAATATATTTTATTTATTTTTTAGAATTAAATGCAAATTTTGATGAATTAGCAATCCTATAAATCATGGCTGTATTTAAAAACAGATTCATGGTGAAAATTCACTGAATTATATGTACTTTTAAAAAAAAGTAGTATGAGAAAATATTGTGGTCAGTGATGTAAGACCACATTAACCTTGAAACTGCAAAGAACATTTTCTTAGATTGAAGTTTCTAATCAGATACATTTAGACATATCTATCTATAGATAGACACACATCACCACAAGAAACCAAAGAAAGAGTAAATGATTACTACGTGAAAAACTCACCACAGAACACTCTATAAAAAGCAACATTTGATACACAGGTCTGATTTGCTTGCCTGTTTCTACACTGACTGATAGCATTCAACCCACAAGACCATTTTAAATCAACTGGATTTATCACTTTTCAGTTTTACTCTGTTACATACACAGATGGATTTTTTTTTAAAGGAGAAACAAAAAATGTTTCTCTAACCTGCTCTTTGTGGAAGACTGTACAGATGACTGGAAAACTAGCACTACTTCAGTCTCATAAACACTAGAAAACCTTGGATACTTATACAAAGAGATACATAGTCTGATTTTGCTAACACTGTAATTAGAAAGTAGAACATAAAACAGATGAGATTAAATATTTGCCAGAAATTCAGACTTGCTTGTATTTTCTAAGGTTTCTCTTTAAAAAAAAATAGCTAGAGAAAAGAGAAAATGAGAGTAAAATTACTCACTTTACCATCTCTCCCAATTTCTCTATGTATGAACATTCATAAAGGAGAAAAGGGTACAGCCCAAATTACCCTCTTTAAACTTAGTCTCTGTTATTTAAGTTTGCAAAAACATGTATCCATCAAAATTTCTTTGGAAAATACATGAACTTAGGTCTGCAATTATCTGGTAGAAATGCCTATTCAGCTTTAATTCTCTCCTCAGTCTCCATTAAAGCAATTGTATCTGTTTTCTAGGACAGTCTGCAGATCAGAATGAGGAAAAAATAGAGAACATAAACTTACAAACTGTGGGTTCTTACTGCACTGTGTCAGATTGATTTAATTCTGAGAGGAAGGTTGAGGGCTTCTGCCCTGTTTTGATGTTCACACATAAACAATAATATTTGGAGTTTCATACCTTCAACCTCTTGCTGTCATGCCAAAAGAAGAGCTGGTTTGTTCAGTTAAAATAGCAACACACTGAAACATTATCCCAATATCCTTATATTTGAGCCAGATATTTCAAATTATTTACATAGCTGTAAAAGACTGATTGCAAGGAAAACTTACACAGTGTGAGATCAGAGGTACTGGCCAAAAAAACCTGAAGTTGAGCCCAGAGCATTCATCCCTGCAACATGTTTTGAGGTGCTACTTGTGGACACAGGGAGATGAGCAGTGTAAGATTTATCCCTTTATCTCACACGGCACCACAAACACTTAACTCCTTCTGGTTTGCAAATGTTTCTAAAAATCCATGGAATTTGGGCTCTATAGATAATATTTGTTTCATGTGAAATATATATGTAATATATTTATACACAATATTCAGGAATAATTTAGCAAACCCATTGTTTTGAGGCACTAGAGATCAGACAATATCATGACAACATAATTTTATCAGCAAAGCCTGTACATTAAAAAACCCCCACTACTTCTGCCAAAACATTACATTATGGAAGATGGATGGTGATTTTAAAACAAAAATCAAGCAACAACATAGTGAAGAAATCTGTGACTTTAAGCTCATGATATTCTTTCTGTATCTATAAAAAATATATATTAGCAAAGCATACTAATAAATTAATCATAACTCAAAACATAAATTAACTACCTTCAATGCTCTGTGGACCAACAAGATTCGTAGCTTGGTGTGCTGGGTATTCTACCCGGGGTCTGGCAATGCCCAATTGCTCCATAACCCCATGGAGGAGCCTCTGAATATCTGCTTCAGTAACCCTGTCAGGTGTCCTGGGGCTGTGACTAAAAGCTGAAGCCAATCCAAATGCCAGCAGAAATATCATGTTGCAAAGCAAGGTAGTAATCATAGTGGCAGCCACTCTTATCCTGTCAAAAAGAAAGGAATTTGATTATAAATTATAGCGGGGGGAAAAAAGTCCTATAGTTGTGGTAGAAATAATATCTGATCCCACTATTGGACTTTACTGCCACGGGTTCTAGGGCAGCTGGAAGTCTGGCCAGCTGGAAATTGGGTGGGGGAATAGGGTGGATATGCTCTTCTCTTCTAGAAGAAATATTACGCAGCAAACTACAGAAATCGATTTGCTGATTTGCTTTTTCTGATAACATTAATCAAACAAAATGAATTCACGTTTTCATTTGATGAGAATACGTCATCCACTACACCATCCACCCCTCCACTCCCTCCATGTTTATTATGCTATTTATAAAGCTCTGGTCTAAAAATCAAGAACTCTTCATCCAGGAACTGTATTTTCCAGGCTCTGTTCTTGCATTGCCTGAAAAATCAATAATAAGAAAATGCCGAACAACCTGCATATATTTTGTTTGCACCTTAAGACAAAAGGCTTCCGACTTCATAGGCACCGTCTTTCCCACCTGAAGCAAATAGGCTTCATTTGTTTTCCTTGAATCCCTTCCACTAAATGGCTGCACAGTGTAGTTTAATTAGGAAAAAACCCGCAAAAGCCAACAACAACAACAAACCACAACGAGCAAGTACCACTTACAGTCCTCTGACAGGCTGAATTTTAATCAGAAAGCTTGTTTTCTAAAAGCTCCCTTCCCCCTGACATCAGAGACTAATTAGAATGCATCACTTCCAGTCTCCTGGATAAACAAATCCTCCTCGAGTTCCCCTTGTCTTCCTTAACACATGCACAGCTGCCTGATTCTTCACGCCAGACGTTTAAAGATGCTCCAGCCTCCGGCGCGGCACCTGGAAACGTCTTTGAGACAAAAATGGCTGAAACCCCCCATGCTGGGAATATTCCCACCCCACCGCACCGCTCCTGCGGCCTCTGCAGTCTCCGTCTCGATGGGAAAAAAAAAAAAAAATCTGCCTTTCTCAGAACGTCCCCGCCGCCCTCCTCCCGCAGCGCCGCGATCCCGTCCCTTCCCCGGTGCCCCGGGCAGCAGCAGCAGCGCGGAGCCGCCGCTCACCTCCCGCTCCCGTTCCCGGCGCGGCTCTGCGGGGGCGGCGGCTCCGCGGCCGCGCATCCTCCGTGCGCCGCAGCCACAGCCAGGAGCTCCCGCGGGGCTCTGTCCCACCCACACACAAAGCTCGGGGGATGCTAAAAACCTCCTTTTCTCGCTTCGCAGTCTAAAAATAACTGCAGGGTTTTGATGCGTTAATGGTGACAGAAATAAGGTATTACATATTCCTAGGAGAGTATCCATCTTCCTGCTGTGATTTCTATTTCGAATAATATGATTACTTACAGGATGATAGCGTTACCTAACTGCAGCTTTACAGGGTAGCAACACGGCAGCCATCTCCAAGGACTTGCAGGTAAATGGCTCCAGATTAAGCAAACCCAGAGACATCACCCAGAGCCGAGGTTATCAAGAAGATAACTACAAAAAATATCTTGCTAAATGAAGTCTCTCCTCTAACACAGCACTAGGCAAAACGGTAGCTTCTAAAGGTTACCTTATGTATCATACCTTCACTGCTACTGACAGGAATATATCACATGTCAGTTTACTATAGCTGTCCACAGAAAATCTCTGAGATTACAGCCCATAAACCACAACAGTCACATGAACTACACTTGCACGTGTAGATTACTCTTTTTGCTGGCCTCTGGTACATTATGCAAGCTGTAACTTGCAGGATTAAGCAACAGGAACTTCCACTTGGCATCTAGTGTTTCTGCAAAACATAATCAACTTTATATAAAGGGATGCATGTCCTAACTGTTCTGCAAAACCTCTAAAAACAAACCTAAACTTTAACAATTTTTTTCTGCTATAGGTTTCTTTGTCAGGGCCCTATCAAATTCCCCCTAAGCTGAGATGTTTCAAGACTAGCTTGCATAGGTGATCAAATGTAGCTTACTGCTCCACATAGGACACGTTGTTAATATGTACCAAATATTTTGAATGCTAATACAGCTTTGACAACCTGAAGTCTTAGTCTTCTAAACAAAAATCAGTGTGACACCTCACTATTACAGGAGTCAGACCTCATCTTCTTCCTGACACTGCCTTTATCTCCTTCTGTCCTATTTCCAGCTCCTACCTCCTTGCACTAGTCATGACAGCTGCAAGTTGTTTTGCTGATCCTCACTTACCTCAGTGAGATGATCCAAAACATGGTGCTCTGGTGCCTGCTTAGCCTATTGAGGGATCTGCCAGCACCAGCTAAAGGCATAGGGTAGGAGCATGCTGCCAAGAGAAGCAGCTTCCTCCTTGGATGGCGGTGAACTGAGAGATTCACTCCTTTCCCTCATGAAACCAAAGGTTCCTATTCTTAACCATAACACCAAGCAAGATGATTAAGATCTCCTCATAGCTGGCTCCCTGGTATTGGGCTTTACAGTAGTGTAGCAAGAGGCAGGAAGTTTCCAAAGATCAAGGAGCTGAACCAATTCCACTTGCAATTTGGTGGATACACGGGGAAGGAGAAAGGAAAAAGATCTATTCTTTTGATTAACATACCCTTTTAAGAAGTTCAGAAGACTACTGCTGATAAACTATGCTGCATCATGCCTTTTGATAGTTGTGAGAATTAGCAACACATAGCTAAGATGAATAAAAAGGACAGCCAGAACAGATTTACTTCTGGCTTCAGTATTTTCAGACTTACTAATTTTGGAGTCTACAGTCTGCGTGTAACATAATGACTTTCCAAGTCATTATAAAAGAACAAACTCAGAAAAGGGAATAAACAATGGTTTTATTAAAACCAAAAGTATCCAGTGCTTCAGGTCTAACATTTTGCCAATAAGCAATTCACACATACAAAAAGCTAATGAACTGTTTCAAGTGTTTACTCTTAAATAATTTTACAACTGATGACAGACGAACAGTTTTCATTTCAAAAGATGTAAACATTTGCTTGTGCAAATCAACTTTTAACACACTATGGCTTCTTACATTTGTCTCTTGCAAAACTTACAGCATCTAAACCCAGCTTCTGCACCACTTAGTTAACATAATTCTACAGCTCTAAAAATAAATTAAAACTCCCCTCTCATGTTAAGATAAAACATTTCATAACTGAAAATACTTGGTACCTACTGCAGAACACAACACTGGATAAAGTTTTAAGACTTTACAATTCTTGAATAAACTGCACATTTGTTTTTCATGTGTTCTAATAATTCTCCAGTGTGTGTGCACACATGGATTATATTGTGACATTTACCTACTCAACAAGGAAAATGCACTCCAAATTTACTCCAACAAAAAAAAATTGCCTCAAAAGAAATACAGCTCGTATGAGGTTCAACTTAGTAGTATCAAGGGGTGCTACAATACACTTAAAACTAAAAAGTAAATAAATTTAACTACTAATAGCATCAAAACACTTCCTTTCATATGTCTGTTAAATTTGTTTTAAATATTTGAGGAATTGTTTTTGAACTTGATGCTTAGTCTAAATACTGCAAGAACAGTTTTGGGAGATGCAGCATGTTTTTAGAAGCTGAGATAATCAAAACTTGAGATCTAACACAAACATTTGTGTTAGATTATTTACAGATTAACCGATTATTTGTTTTATAAATCAAATTAATTTAGTTGAACTGACTAGCATTTACAGAAGTTTCAGCAAAAGAAGAAAACCTCAACATGAAACAAACTGCTATTTGTACATCTTCACAACTCATTCACTTTAAACAAATGAAAAATTACAAATAAAAAGAGATAGAAAAAAAATACAAATTTAGATTTTTCCAAAGGTTAACCAAGTTACAAAGAACCCATTTAGCCATCACATTTTATCTTATAAGTCAACTGGCTTTGCAGCTGGTAGCAGTTTTACTTCAGATATTGGATTCTTTGGAGAGCCTCTATAACGAACTCTTTCCTTTCCTGAAGCACTTCTTGTGATCATAGATTTTTCTGGGGCAGCACCTGGAATATTTATATTTGCATTAACTTTCAAACTGGATTTAACCATTTCATGATTGGTTAGATCTTCTAGAACAGACTTTGGTGGATGAACAGTTGCTTTTTGTTCATGGATTCCAACAGTTCTGACAGAAATGTCAGGCTTGTCTGATGGATTTAATGGCCTGCAACATGATTTGGATGTTAAGTCTAGCTGCTTATGAGCTACAGAAATTCTGTCACGTGTGCTTTCACTCCTGCGTGGCAAAAGCAGGGAATTCTTGGAGGGCTTTTCTGTGCAGGGGAATAGGGAAGAATCACAGCTCAAAGATTTAACAAGTGGTGAACCAACATCACTTGACTTAACCATCTGAGAGCTTACAGATTGTCTGTTAGCCTCCAAAAGAGAATTCATTCTTTTTACAGACTGTCTAACTGGAGTACGTTGAAACTTCAGAGGTGGTTTAGGTTTGGTTGTAGAATTTGGATCATTTAATGAGAGCTGATTGAACCACTGTATGTGGTCAAAAACCTTCCCATGGTCAGAAACAGTTGATGTTTTAGTTAAAACTTTATCTGAATTTTCAGCTTTCAAGTATTGGTGGGTCATTTCTTTTTGTAATTTAGGCAACTGTGAAGTAGGCAACTGTCCTGCCACAGAAGGTTTACCAGTACCCTCTTCCAAATTACAGCACTTTACCATACAGTTTTCAGCTGTTTGCAAGTGTGTTAATTCTATTTCCTCTTTTCTTCCAGAGAAATCTGATTTGTGTAAGTCATCTTTTGTTGAATTGTTCTCAACAGCAAACTTCTCTTCCTCGGCTAGTACTTGAGGCATAGGAAGTTCTTTTAGTTTTTTTATATCTGGTTTTGGGACCTGAAGTTCAATCTCAATAGAAGCTTTGAAGCTTCTTTTCTCCAAAATGTCAATTTCCTCTTTTCTTGATTGCTGTTTATCATCATCAGCAGATTGATTAAATTGGTGCAACAGCTCTCCGGATTTTACATTTGCTGGATTTTCAGAAACTTCTTCTACTAACACTTCTTTCGCTGAACCGAGCCCTGAGGGACACGGAGTTTCATTTAATATTTCACTTGCTACACCTGAGAGGGATGATTTTTTATCACCTATCAAATTGTGGAGAATGCTCCCAGATGCAGAGAAGGCTTGCTTAACTTTCAGTAATGTTTCTGTAGTTGAATTACTTTCATCTTCACAAAGCACAAGTTCCAAGTTGTTGTCTTGCTTGCTTACAGTTGCAGATTTGAATTCATCTGGAGTAACTGGTGACTTTCCAAATATCAAATCAGATTCTGAAGAGCTGACTCCCATTTCAGAGTGTCCAGGCAGAATTTGCTCATTCTTGCTGATCACCTGAGAATCCATAACAGCTGGACTATCCCAGGACATTCGGTGAACTACCTTATTGTGACATTTTGGAGTTAGTAAGCTTTCTTCTGACTTGCTTACATTCCTTGAACCTTAAAATAAACACCACAGTGTTTAAGAATAATTTATTGTGATTTTAATTTCTATAGACAAAATTCTTACTAAAAATAATTATCAAAGCAGCACTGAATTTAAAGATGCCATTACACCCTTAGATTTCAGAAATGTAAAAAAAGTTATAAGTGAAATAGTTCCTCTCATTTAACTAAGAGAGCTACTAACTTACACTAGAAACACAACAAACTTGTTCTAAACCAATTCTTTTTCCCAAGAAGCCATTAACATTCAAGTGACTTTTGACTGAAGTTAGAAGCATACTTTTATTCCAATTGCTTTCATACTTTTGTGTACAAAGTTGCTTTTGCAAAGTAAAAAAAAAAAAAAGTTTTCCCCACGTAATACATTTGGTTAGGCAATTACCTTTCTTAGGGAATTTTTCAGTGACATATGGGCTGAAGAGTACATCTCTT